GGTTTAGTTGTTGTGTTTCAGCGCGTTGTTATGGGAAGAGCGCATCCACAACAGGATCACACATTCTGACTATAGCATGCAATAACTGCGTCATTTGTCATTTCATATATAAGTTGTAATATTATGTTTATGTTGTATTAATATTAATCTCAGGATGCATTTCCTTGAGTTAAATAAGCTGCCAGCAAAACGCTTCAGTTTACCGTGTTCATTCAGCTCTTCAGCTTCAGCTTGAGCTGCAGCTCAATGGCTGCTATTTAAAACAGTGGTATTAATTTGTTACTTTTTCAAAATCATTGATATATTATTAATAACAACAACCACTTGTATTTTTCTCTTATTATTTTCATCAACAATATGGTTTAGTAATTAAAATCATTTAATTATTGTCCGTGCAGAGGCTATTCCGTTTTATTGATCTATGGCGCATTCATTTTGATTCTTTACACGTGTAATGATGTCCAGTGACTTGTTTGCATTATTTCTGCATTATTTTATTTATTTGTAAGACTTTTTTATGACTAAATTTGGTAATGGGAGAGTAAAAATATTTTTAAAATGTACACCGTTCAAACTAGGCTGCTTATGTTGAAGTGTTTGGGATGTGGCTTTTAATGATGAGACCTTTTTTGTAATCAGGCTCTCAAAAAGTATATAACAATTTGGATATAGATTTATCGGCCAACATATCGGTTATCGGCTTTCAAAAATAAAGAATAATCGGTTATCGGTATCGGCCAAAATTTTCATATCGGTGCATCCCTAGCAAATATTATACATGTTTAAAATTTTACTTACACATATAAATAGCTAATAATAAGAAGAAAACAAAAAACTAGAATACAGGTGCATCTCAATAAATTAGAATGTCGTGGAAAAGTTCATTTATTATTTATAATTCAACTCAAATTGTGAAACTCGTGTATTAAATAAATTCAATGCACACAGACTGAAGTAGTTTAAGTCTTTGGTTCTTTTAATTGTGATGATTTTGGCTCACATTTAACAAAAACCCACCAATTCACTATCTCAACAAATTAGAATATGGTGACATGCCAATCAGCTAATCAACTCAAAACACCTGCAAAGGTTTCCTGAGCCTTCAAAATGGTTTCTCAGTTTGGTTCACTAGGCTACACAATCATGGGGAAGACTGCTGATCTGACAGTAAGCATTCTTACTTTTCTTGTCGTCTCCTGAAGCGACTTCAGCAAGGTATCGGTAGTAGTCACCCTTCATCTTCAAGTAGAAGACTTTGCTCTCAGGATTTGTGGAATTCTGGATTAAATATTTGTTCAGCAGCTCCTGTAGAAGAAGAATAAAAGAAAGAATTTAAATGGTGGAAAAGCTTGAAATCCACATTTAGACACTTTCATGTCATTTCTTTAGGCCACAAGAAACATGCAAATTACTAGCAGAATGACCTTAAATACAGGTTAAATATCAGCTCATCCTCCTGTTAGTGCCGTACCCATGCCGATTCAAAGCAGTTTTAGGGGATATCCCTCCTTCATTTTAGTCCATGATTAAGCTTAATCTCTGTCTCAGAGACTAGCCCCTAGCTGAAGCTCTCCATCTCTGCATCCGTCTACCCATCTAAGACTGCTTCAGCAGTAATCTGTTTCAGTGAAAGCAACAGCTTTAAGGCACGAGTAAATACCAGATTAACCACCACACCAAGGATGAGACAGATTACCACAGAAAGGCCAACACAACATCATAAGGTATGACCCACTCCTTACCACGCTATGGTAAGAACAGGTCAGAAAATACACCATCAAGAGCTTAATATTTCTCTCCATCCTCCTACACTTCACAGCATTCTGCTTCACAAACACGTTACAACAGAAATCATTAGGAAACAGATCAGCAGAGGTTTATTCAAATCTAGGATGTCCAATATTTTATTGCTCTCTCAGTGATTAAAGGGATAGTTCACCCAAAAATAAAAATTGTCAACATTTACTCACCCTGAATGACTTACTTTATTCTGTGGAACATGACATGTTTTTGGCCTTACAATGAAAGCCAATTGACTTCCATTGTAGTTTTTCAAAACGCCTCCTTTCGTGTTCCACAGAAGAAAAATTATACAGGTTTGGAGCGAAATTAGTAAATGAGTAAATGACAGAATTTCCCTTTAATTAATGTTTTAAATAATGTTTTGGCTTGAGGAGTACAAACTGCACCCAGAAGCTTCAAAACAGACAAAACCAAAAGCGTAAGAAACATTCTCCGGCATGAGGGCCTGTTTCTTCTTGCTTGCCTGACTAGAAAGTCCTGCCAGAGAATTTTTTTCATTCTTCACACTTGTCAAGGATTCTCGGCACAGAGATGCCAGTCATTGATGACCAATCCAGAGAAACAAGGTCAGTGCTATTCCAGCATCCCATTGCTGGCTTAAAAATGTAGAAGCTTCTGAGAAGACTAAAAGCACATGCACATAAAATAGCACACAATTGAGCATCCAAATCCAAAATCTCGTCAACAATCTTTGTGACAAGCCTAATTTATGTGGATGCACTTGCATTACCTTTTCAGGGACAGCTGAGGGGGGAAAAAAACTTTAAAAACACTTATTCAAAGTAAAAGTAATCACAAAAGATTCTATTTCATTTATGTTCTTTTGAACATTCTATTCATCAAAGAATCCTAAAATAAATAGATCACGATTTCCACAAAAATATGAAGCAACACAACTGACTTTCAATAGTTATATAATAAGAAATGTTTTATCAAATCCGTATATCAGAGTGATTTCTGAAGGATCATGTGACACTGAAGACTGGAGACACAATATTATGGTTTTAACTGTATTTTTGACTTTTGCTGAACATAAAGACTTAAAAAAAAAAAAAAAAAATTAACCCCAAACTTTTGAACCATAAAATATACTAAGGATGGTCGACTAGACTTCCAACAGCTGACTGGGTTAAAAAAAAGGTGAGATTAACTAGTCATCTTTGTTTAAGCTTTAATATTGGTGGTTCTATAAAAGGAAATAATTTAGAGAAATCACTTTTCAGTGAGGATTGAGTGTGCAAACAGTAATTTCTGTACATTCTGGGAGCTAAAACCCTTTCTGAGAAGTTATGTTTCTAAATTCATCCCAGCTACAGTGAAAGTGCTTTTTTTTTTGTTACAAATCCACCATATTATACAATACATTTTGAGATAATTATGGTCACACTCAATACAACAATATTTTTAGTTGTTGATCATGAACACACACAGGCGAATGTCTTTATGCATTCCCCTGATGTTCAACAAATATAAATCATTGATAAGTGCAGGAAACCCTTGTTCAGTGAGTGTAATCCTCCCTACTGAGAGTATGAGAGCTGGCAGCATGTGGCACGCAGTGTGGACAGGTGGGGGTGTGGAACAACTTTGATCCCAGAGCAGATTCAACAGTGAGATGAGTCACAGACACACCCTCAGCCATCACAGAGGAGCTGGGAAATCAAGCTGGAGTTCTCGCTAAAGCAGCGCACAGAAACGGCCGTGACTCACTGCACAAACACAGTTCAGCACTTACATGGGTTCAGACTGGACTACAGCAAAACCACTGCTAACAGCACCACTGACTTACCAGAAAGACAGCGACTGATTGTGAATATTTTCTATTTCCACAGGAAGCACTTTCTGGAAGTCCAGGTAGAAACTGATAAAACCAATACATTTTTAATTGTATTTGGCAGATAAATGATAAATGGCCGAAATTGAAACGGAAATTCGCCCATCTACATTCTAACTATTATGAATGACTGATTGCGCCATGTTAATAGGGATTTTTTTATTTATTTTTTTAGAATTTTGTTAATTGTTAATCACAATGTCACTTTAATATTCTATACTATTTTGTCTAAATAAATTAAAATGAAACGCTAAAATCAAATGAGATTTGCTAAAGATTACTTTTAAATTATTAGTAGTAGTTTAAAGATTAAAACACTAATAACAGTGTTAGATGTGTAAACGTAGAGGAAATATCCGATATCAAACAATACCGATCAATTTTTATCCAATACTGATAAAAAAATTAATATAATTAACATTGGTTGCAACTTTGTCTATATCTCACATGATGTCACTAAATTGTATTATGCATATATAAGCCACCTAGATATCACCCCTAGTACTGACATCTGCCATTGAAAAAACAAACACACACACATTGGTTGACCACCACATAAGACATTAGTGAATTTTACAATATTGTTCTACAATAATACACAAAGCAATTGTCTATACAACACCCATAAAACATGGTCTAATAGTAATGAATTATGGTCTTCTCTATGAATAGACCACAATAAGAGCTACCATTTCAGCTCTTTCTGTGAGAAAATAAACCACATCCATTTTTAGAACAAACCTCCTTCAGGCAACATTAAACATTATTGCATTTATTTAAAGAAACAAAGTGTCTGAGTGGATAAGGCTAAAGTATTCCACCAGTAGGACAAGCATTGAGAATGAGGAACAGCATAGCTCACTATTACCCAGCAGGCATTCGGAAAGCGTTACTAAACTGCACCTGAATGCACCTTCACACACACCCACTGCTGAACTTTGATCATCTCATCACAGTCAGGGCCATGATTTGATTATATAAACAAACACGTTCTTCTGTGGGAAGTGTCTATCAGGAAACACTTCTCTTTTTACATCGTACCAATTAGATCATGGTAGGTTTGCTTTACATAAAGCTATTAAATACAAACTGCATGGCTTCAAATTGGACATATTCTAGATATAAAAATAATGAGACGGTGACTGTCCTTGTGCAAGACTGTGCATGCTCCCCTTAATATAGACACCCTCGTCTCCAGCGAGAGCCAAAACTGGGCTGCTGTTCCATCAGAAAAGAGGACATATTCTCTACCATGTTATGTGTAACACACACACACGTGGTGAATATATACTAATATGATACATACATTTATATATGGTCAAATAATTTCTGTGCTTATATTCAAAATGTGATTAATTCAGCAAAATTGTATGTTTAAACAAACAAAAAGCCAAAAATAATTCAAAATCAAAATCAATCCAAGAGCAAAGACATCCATTTGCATACTGATTTATATTAGTATTTATTACAGACTAGGGCTGCACTATTTGGGGAAAATAATTAATTGTGATTAGGGTTGGGTACCGAAACCCGGTACCAATATGGCACCGGTACCTATGTAACCGGTATGTACTAGAACCGAATCAGAACGCAGATTTCGGTGCCATGCCTGAGCGATCGATTGAAATATTTGTCCTCTGGTTCTCCGAAACGGACGTAAGAAGCATCATCACTGGCACCGTACGTGAAAAATAATTTCCCGACTGAGAAACTGCACGTGAACTCAAGTCGGAAAACTCTAATAATACAAATCCAACACATCTTTGTAGTAACGTGAGTGTCCATGTTGTTTTCACATTCTGACTTAAAAGCACAACTCTGGAAATGAGAGCATCCGAGGAGCGCGACATCATATGACCCCTTTAAAAAGAATACATCGATTAGCAATAGATTATAAATTAGGGTGACCATACATCCTCTTTTCGCCGGACATGTCTTCTTTTTGGACCTACAAAAATGCGTCGGGCCGGGATTTCTTAATTGCCCAAAACGTCCGGTATTCTGTTTTCTTAATCCCACTCTCGCTGAATCTCTGACCATTGCTCCCGCAACATGTGTTTCGCTCCCGCGATTTTCATGTCCACTCCTTTAAACATTCTAATATTGTGTATAATTTTGGCGCATCAGGGAGCCGCTCTCAGTATGCGGAGTATTTAAATATTTTTGAATGAGCATTTGTGCTGTTTACTTTCACTTTCGATTTCGCGATCACACGCACTCTGTGTAAAGTTAGCACATCTTACAAGATCAGATATTTGTCAATGAGCTCAGAATCTGTTGAGCAGCAAATACTCCAGCATGGTCTTGTCAGTCATCTCTCCTTATTCTCGACCTGTGATCAGTCAAAGCTGACTCCGGTAGCTCTTGTTGGATGCAGGGTTGCCAAGTCTGCGTTTTTTCCACAGAATTTGGCTTGCCCAGCTCAATCTAAGCAGCTGAGTCCTTAATATTTTCAAGAAACGGCTGAAAACACATCTCTTTCATTTTCATTTGACCCTCTAACTCTAGCACTCTATATTCTATTTCTATTCTAATGGCCAATCCATCATTTTTGGGGGGGTTTTTTTATTTTTTTATTTTTTAATAAGTATCGGTTCAGGCACCGGAACCGTTTTAAAAGTATCAATTTGGCACCGGTATCAAAAAAAAAAAAAAACGATACCCAACCCTAATTGTGATTGCATTTTTTTTGATGACAAGGTTTACTGTGTAGGGCTGCACAATATGGCCAAAAAATGTGGTTACATAATCATATAAAATAAATATTATTACTATAAAATTACTTTTTTTATTATTAAACCATCAAGCTGTTATTTTGGCAAAACACTGCCAGAAGCCCTTGAAGACTCTCTTTTGTTCACAACAGCCGTTTTACAAGCACTTGCCAAACATTATTAGGGAAGATGGCACATTGCGTTCCAAAAAGCACAATATAAGTGACCCAAACAGAGAGCACATGCAGAGATGAGTTTGTGTTCGGAGCAGATTTTCTGCTGAAAACACCAGCTCATGAGCTGCTTGTGTGAAAATGAACAGTGCCATGCTTCGCTCTAAAACAGTGATGTATTTATTTAATTCATTGATAAACCACACTAAAGCCCGACTTGGACGGTAATTGTTTCTCATGGGGACGTAAGTGATTATCACCATTTACAGGGGGTAGTCTGTGATTTAATTGCCGTCGGAATCCAGTATGTCGGTGTATATCTCTCACCCCTCCCGTAAAAATCCCTGGCCAAATTACCTACTGTTTTTTGACAAACACCAAGGTCGTGTGGTAATTTAATTGCCGTCCGAATCCACATCTCTGCGTTTACAAGTAGAAATCAATTCAAAACTCAGTGTTTAAACCCTTGCACTCCCGAACACCGTACGGTAGGCTAACTGTTGTACTTCGGTGTAATTTGCATACATATTTATTTCCGAAATGCTGGAAAGTATTGAAAAGAAAAATACTTCGTAACTGCTCCACCACAGCAATATATACATAACTTTATCGCGTATAATTATATACAACTATAGCGCTTATATTTTCCTATTTTTAAACAGGAGATTTAAATAATCAAATAATAAATAGGATTATAGATTATAAAATAAGCTTGGAATAATAATACATTTTACATAATAAGAAGTATTTTTAAAATATATTTTACACAATAATTAATTTTATTTATAGCAGACAATCATGCAGTGTTTCCCCTGCCATTATTTTAGGGGGGCGGCCCGCTCCCTCTAGTATTTGTAAATATTATATATTTAAATATGAATTCTGCGTGTCTCTGTGTTAATGAATGGCGCAGACGTGCGGTTTTGTGTAGTACTCCAGAAGATATGCCGGTTTCTCGGCAGTGGGCGGAGCTAATGTGCGATCAGCTCTCGTTGGCTGGTGCTCATCTATTACCATCCCCGTTTTGATTTCAGCAAATCAGTTCCAGCGAACGCTGACAACGTGATTAATATTCATGAACCCAGCAGATAATAATAATAGTAGTAGTATCTTTTAATAATATTTACTATTACCTATGACCAACAATATCTTAAACACCACCACCAGCCCTAAGTTCAGTTAAAATAACAAATATGCATTCATTCATGGTTACTAGTCACTAGTTCTATCATTAAATAGTGCTTAATTATCATAATATCATAATATAATGCTTGATTGGCTGAAGTTAAGAGTGCACATTCAGTTATTTAAGAAGCTGTTCAATTTTACAAAGATAAGCTGATTGGGTGGAATCATGTGTGTGTGTGTGTGTACCTACTTTTTGTGTGGACAAATTTGTACCCAAAAGTGAGCAAAACCTGACAAAATCGGCAAAAAACCCAATTTGTGGATGTCCTCATTTGTAAAACTGTTATAAAAATAAAGTAAACAAAGTTTTTTTTTAACTTTTGAAATTGTAAAAATGCAGAAAGTTTTCTGTGAGGGGTAGGGTTAGGGGTGGGTTTAGGTTAAAAAGTGTATAACTATCTGTATATAAAAACAATAGAAGTCTATGTAATGTCCCCACTTAGATAGCTAAGTAAACGTGTGTGTGTGTGTGTGTGTGTAAAATAGTATATCAGTCTGGCGAGTAAACAAAAAAAATGTACTAGCCAATGTCGATTATATTGCCAAGGTGTGCGCAGAGGGTTGTAAACTCACCAACACATCGTTGCAGATATCCCGCAGTTCAGACTCCACTTTCCCCCGGTATTCCTTCACCATGTGCAATTTCTTGTCGTTTCCTTCGGTCTTCTGCTCGATGCTGGAGATGACCCTCCAGGCAGACCTCCGGGCGCCCACCACATTCTTATAGGCGACAGATAGCAGATTTCTCTCCTCATTAGACAACTCAGACCCAGCTTCGGTCACTGACTTCATACAGGTCGCCATATCATCATAGCGCTCGGCCTGCTCGGCCAGCTTTGCCTTCTGGATGAGCTCTGCTCTGTCCATCCTGCTGCTTTTCTTTAAGTCTGTGAGTGTTTCTAGGTCTATGGGACACTTGACTGATCAATGGAGGGGAATGAACCGCTGCTTAATCCCTGGAGAGGCTGAGAGGAAGATAATGATGACAGTCAGACTCCATATATTGATTAGAGAATAGTGGTCACGAATCATTTATGCGAACCAATCATTCTGCTCACTACCATACATTGACGATTCTCCCTTTTGAAGCATGTGGCTATTTCGTGACTTCAAAGGCTGATTTTAGCACAAGCCTTTGAATGCAAGTTGTGGAGCATTTCATCAACAAAAACACCATTTACTGAACGAATCAATGTTTTGAACCCTTGAGGATCTCTAAGAGTGATGTCTTGTCATAAATGAACTGAATAAACTGGAATATCTCGCTATTGAACGAAAAGAACCAGTTAATAAAATGATGCGATGAATCGTTCATATTAAAATACAAATTTGTCGCCACCTACTGGCGTAACGATTAGAAAGAGTCACGTGAACAAATCTTTTTGGTAAATGATTCAAAAGATTCGAATCACTGAAATGACTCAAAATCCCTACCACCGTTCCGTGTGAATCTTACACTTTCATTCTCCACACACATACTAAAATTCGTCTTAAAACCTAGTGAGTTGCCTACCAAAACAGCATTGTGGGGTTCGTTCCGACAGATGTTGTCTAGGTAGGTAAGTCACTAGGTTTGGAGACACGAACAAGGGTGTGTGTGCAGCTTCTGTGTCAGTGTGATCCGTACAGCCCTGCCCTGTTCACTAAAATATATTTAAAGTGGACCCACTGTTTTAACATCATCTTAAATACACAAAATAGGACATTGCAGTTCAATACACCGATCACACTCATACGGAGTCAATATGAATCAATGAAATCCAGCCTGATTTCCGTAGCAATGAGGTTACTGGCTCACTATACAAAGCGTTAATTTGACAATCTCAGCAGTCAGATATGCATATTACCATATATTAAAACACATTTGAGTTTGTACCACAAATAGCTCTATCTAGATCAAAGTATAGCTACATAAATATATTTTTTAAATCTTTTAAAAAAGCAATTTGACGACCCGCCTTTAACAGCGATGGGTCTCGTCTTGTCCAATACGTTATTATTTTAGACAACAAAGATATATAACAAATACGCAGTCGGAGAATACAAGCGTCCCATATAAAAGGTAAATACATGTTTACTACATTGTAATAAGCAAAGCAACCCTTTTTTCTGATCGATATGGACGCAGTTTATACCGAGCAGCGCGGTTATACCGATTACGCCGTCCATTGAAACAATACAAAATTGTATATACGAATATAAGCTTGTACAATAAATAAACATAAAACTTTAAAGCTAAAATATATTAGACTGCATCTCACCTCTCGATCAATGGTTGACTCCACCGGATTGATAGCCTTTGAGCTTGGATGGTTAGGAATAAAAACGTAGTAGAGAAAGACAATCGAAAGTGTTACCGTGGGACGTCGCTAATCCCGCCTGTCAGCCAATCAGATGCCGCGCTTCCCTCCTGTCACTCGTTATACTTCAAATGATCATCCAATAGCTGATTAGCGCGGGGAATGGAGGCGGGCCGATACGAATGTGTTCGGTTGCCCCGTAGACTCTGACTTGTAGCCACGGGGTTTCCTCCAATTAGAGCATTGCTTTGGTTCCTTTAAGGGCTAGTTGAGTCTATACCGGATGTGTTTGGGTTTTGCAAAAATGTACAGAGTTCAGCTCTTAAGAAAAGAAAAGATGCTGTAATCCCAGCTCAGGTGTAAAGTATTCTGAACATAACAATAATACATACACTTACACATAAACAATAAAGCAGGAGTGGCTGTTTCACATTGTAAATATAACCATGCCTAAAGGACATCTTTACAAAGCTGTCATTGCAAACCATTTAACTGTGACTTCATTCACAATTGGCATCAAGTGCATTTTTGCTTTTATAAAATGTTTACTTCATATTAAAATATTAAGGACACAAATTTTTATTGAAAAAATAACAGTCTTGGGGTCACTAAGATTTAGTCTCTTATGCCCTCTTGATCAAAAGTACAGTAAAAATGTGAAAAAAATGGACATCTTTACAAAGCTGTCATTGCAAACCATTTAACTGTGACTTCATTCACAATTGGCATCAAGTGCATTTTTGCTTTTATAAAATGTTTACTTCATATTAAAATATTAAGGACACAAATTTTTATTGAAAAAAATAACAGTCTTGGGGTCACTAAGATTTAGTCTCTTATGCCCTCTTGATCAAAAGTACAGTAAAAATGTGAAAAAAATAGTTAAATATTGTTACAATTTAATATATTTTCTTATTATTGTGATGGAAGCTGCATTTTCAGTGCATTACCCCAAACGTTTGATTTATAGTGTATAATACAATTTTAATATTTGTAGAAAGAAATATAATAAATAAAATTCAGCAGAGAAAAAACGATTAGCCTGCCATCACTAGAGCCTAAAACCCTGAGATTTCCCATTAGACAATAGGCCTTTTAACTTTGCTGAAGCTTGTTTTACTCTCCACAGTCAATTTCCTGTGAGGTAACTCTCAGACTGAGTAACCGGGTGGGGCTGAATGTATGACACATTTTGACATCCTAGCTTTGTCTGAACAGGTTAAAGTATAGTCATCCATTTAAACACAGAATAACTCACAGTGACTGTAGTTAGTAAAACATAGTTGGTGTAATTTTTTGCCGAAATGATGAAAGACTTCAAGGACAAACAAGGAGTAAATTAAACAGGTAATTTTTCAGATATTTAAAAAATGGGAATTTTAGCTATATAACCACCCTACTTGGTTTTAAAGCAGAAGCTCATCTATTTTAGAAAGAAGCAGGATTTCAGTCTCTCACACACATCCTGCATGGGCAAAGACCAGGCTCCGCTCACAGAGGAGAAGGCTTGTTTAATCCCCTTTGAAAAGTGATGTGTTAAACTCCAGCAGGTCATGTCATGTCCTACAATCTCACACAAACAACCTATATCACATGAAAAAAAATAAAAATAAAATAAATAATTTTTTTATATATGTATATATACACTGAACAAAATTATAAATGCAACACTTTTGTTTTTGCCCCCATTTCACAAAACCAGTCATAAGGGTACATTTTTCGAAATTGAGATTTATTCATCACCTTATTTATTCATTATTCATCACAAAAAAATCTAAATATTGAGAAAATCACCTTTAAAGTTGTCCAAATTAAGTTCTTATCAATGCATATTACTAATAAAAAATTAAGT